GGAAGTCTCCGGCAAGGAGACACGGGGCCAGAGGTTGAGCTGATGCGCTGCGTACCGGACCGCAAACGGCCACAGAAAGTGGGGAGCAGCCGCATGGGTCAGGGAGGTACGAGCGACCTCCATGACTAAGCCAATGCGGCGCTCAGCAACCCCATTCTGCTGTGGAGAGGCCGGAAGCGTGTACGACTGCTCAATGCCGTGCTCAGCACAGTAGGCTGCCAAGAGGTCGGAGGCGAACTCACCACCCCTGTCAGAGTGCAAGCGCAGGACAGGAAAGTCCGAGTGAAAGCGCTCGCCTAGCTGGAGACGGGCTCGGCTGATCCAGGGGATCAAAACACCAGGGACGTCACCCTTGGCGCGCAAGGGGAAGACCGTGGTGTAGCGCGAGTAGTCGTCAACAACTATCAGGAAGTACCTCTCCTGACCCTGACCACGGACGCGGGCCGGGCCCCACACGTCCATGTGGAGCGTCTGCAGGGGAGCGGTCGTCGGGGGAAAGGAGGAGGAGTGAGGAGCGGCGCGCTGCCGCCCCTCGACACAGGGAATGCAGTCAGGAGCAGGGGAGTCAGGAAGGGGAGGGAGCACCCTGGGAAGACCAGCAACAAGGTCCCGTTTGTGCATGGCCCGCAGGCGCTGCACAGACGGGTGACCAAGGCGGTGGTGCCAGAGGACGGTGTCGTTCGCCAGAGAGCGACACGAGCAGGGGGCGGACAGCTGACCTGACGCTGACGCAGACGCAGCTACCTGAGGGGACTCAGTGGTCAGTGTGTACAGGTCAGACCCCGGCTCTCGAGTGAAAGTAGCTAGGTGGCGGCCCGTCCGAGCACACGTGCAGTGAGTCACACGCTCGTAGGCAGGGGTGAACTGGTGAACACCCGAGTCCTGGAGCGCACTACCTGCCACCAAGTTCGTGGAGAACGAGGGGAGGTAGAGACCTGAGAGCGTGCCGGACGGAACCGCTGGACACGGAAGGGTGGTGGAGGAGGTCGCAAGGACCGGACCCCCAGAGGGGTCAGCAAGAGAGACAGCAACCGGCCGAGCTAGAGGCTCAAGGACAGTGCGGTCACGAAAGAAAGAGCGAGAAGCACCTGAGTCCAGTGTGAAGGTGTGCAGTGCTGCAGTCGACTCAGTACCAGGGGGCACAGACTCACAAGCACCTAGAGCAGCAGCTGCAGAAGTACCTGTGGAAGCAGACACACTAGCACCTAGAGCAGCAGCGGGGCTGGCCTGAATGCCCGGGTCGGGCGGAACACGCAAGTACTGAGCACCCTCTCCACTAATAGACATCGCATACATGGCAGTGAGAATAGCATCAAAGTCAAGTGCCCAAATATCAACACCCTTCCTGAGCAGATCAGCCCAGCGCGGCAGCTCACCCCCACCAGGAAACTGAGTGCGCCACGCATCGTTGAGGCGGGCGAAGCAGCGCTCCGTCTGGTGCGGCCCCCCACACGTCTGGCCAGTGCGGTCACCTGTACGAATAACGTACTGGCAGGTGACGCTGCGCCGCGCATACCACTCACGGGCGGCCTGAAGGGTCGGGGCAGGCTGCTGACTCTGACCGCCCCCCGGGCTCCCACGACCACCACCCCCTCCGCCTCCGCCCCGGCCACCTCCACCCCTGCCGCTGCCACGACCACCTCCGCCTCCGCTGCCACCTCCGCCCCTGTCACCACTCCCAACACCGCTGTCACCTCCACCACTGCCGCCACTAGCCTCTCCAGTCGCACCTCCACCGCCACCACCTCCACCCCCGCCTCCTCCGCCACCACCCCCACTCCTGCCACTCCTGCCCCTGCGTCGTCCGCCTGAAGCAGACGCAGCCCCGACCTTCTCAGCACCAAGGAGGTCGACAGCAGCAGCAGAGGCGACAGAGGGGAGGAGGGGGGAAGGGGAGCACCCCTCGAAGAAGGGGCCGCGGGGGTCGCCACGAGAGGTGCCTACAGCGACGATACTAGCCTCGGCTGCAAGCAGTTCCTTCTCGAGGAGGGCTATGGTGAGCTCAGTGGGGGAGCGAGAGAGGAACTGGTCCCTGACAGGGCGCAGAGAGTCAGGGAGGCGGGTGACAACGTGGTAGAGGGTGATCCAGAGCGGGGGGGGTTGCTAGCGAGGAACTCATCAGGCATGGCAGCGCGAAAGCGAGCCTCACTAGTCTTAAGGTGGGTGATGAGGTCTGCGACAGTGTGAAAAGAGGCTAGGTCGGGGAACAGGTAGGGGAGAGTGAGGCGGCCTAGTGTGGCAGAAGCGGGTGAGGAGTAGCGGGCCACTACAGCTGTATAGAGGTCCTTAGCAGTCTTGCACTGGCCGAAGTGCTCGCGCTCATCTAGCGGCAGGGAGTTGCGAATAGCAAAGCGAGCGTGCGCGTCACGGGTCTGCCACTGTGAGCGCTCAGCTGGGGGGGCAGTAGCGAGTGGGGCGGTCGCATGGCCGAGAGCGTGGTCGTACAGTGTAATATCTTCCTTGGCAGTGAGCTGTAGGAAAAGGTGCAGGTCATCTAGCCAGGTTTCGAATTTGACCGGACGGCCCTCGGCGTCGAAAGCTAGAACAGGAGGACTAGCCATAGCGACAGCGGCAGTAGTAGAAGCAGTAAAGTCACTGAACAGGCGTGCGCAGGGTCAGCAGGGCCGGTGGGGCCTACGGACTGTAGTGGCGCACAAGCAGCAGTAGCAGGAAGTGTAGTAGTAGGATCTGCAGTGGTGCACAGGCGCAGCAGGCGGCAGCGAGAGCCGGCGCAGCAGGGGCGGGCTCAGCAGCGGTGATACGCAGGCGGCAGCGGGCGCAGCAGCGGCGGTGCGCGGGCGGCGGCGGGCTCAGCAGCGGCGGTGCGCGGGCGGCGGCGGGTTCAGCAGCGGCGGTGCGCGGGCGGCTGCGGGCTCAGCAGCGGCGGGCCGGGAGCAGTGCGGGCAGCGTGCGGGCCGGCGGCGGTCAGCGCACGAGCCGCGCAGGCTCAGCGCGGGCTGTGCGGGCTGCTCGCGGGCTGCGTAAGCGGGTCGCGGGCGGCTCGCGGGGGTTCGCGGGCAGGTCGCGGGCTGCTCGCGGGCAGTTCGCGGGCTGTGCGCGGGCTGCGCGGGCTGGTCGCGGGCTGTGCGCGGGCGGTTCGCGGGCTGTGAGCGCGGCGCGCTGTGCGGTTCGCGGGCGGCGTGACGGGGCCGATCGGGGCGCTAAGGGGCGACGCGACGGGGGCCGTGAGAGGCCGCTAGAAAAAAAAAAAAATTTCGACGGGGCCGCAGGGCCGCTAGATCGTGCTAGATCGACGGGGCCAGCGGGGCCGGAAACAAGCGAAGGTAAGCAGGTAGGTAAGTCGGTGGGCCCTAAGAACAGTCCTAGCGAAGGACCTGCTCTGAAACCATGTCAGAAATAACTGAGCAGGAATGAATGAACTAGAACAGAGTTTGGTACAAGTAGGAAACCCTAACTTTGTGTACCCCCTAAGGTGTAACCCACTACAGCCTAGACAATATAAACATGCAATGTTTGACAATCAGGTCCCATGGATGACGAAGGACATCAAGTGCTACGGCCCCAGAGGCAGGATGTGTACACTACTGCTGCACTACCGGGATACTGAGCTGGTGAGTACATGGGTACATGCGATTGGAATCTGGGCGACTGCATGATGGTTCGTCTCCCCGCGGAAATGGGCAGACCAGTGACCACTCGTGTGCATGCTTGTGGCAGCTCGTGAAAAAACTGCTACGCGCATTCCACCACATCGCGGGATTTGTGACAAAGCCTCGGAAGGACGAGGAAGACACGGAGGAAGTGCAGCATTACAGCACCCCCGACACGGGGAAGTGGCTGGAAGAAGCACGGGTATGTAGTACTAATCGTATGGGTGGGTGATGATGGGCAGCTCGCGCGTCACTGACGGCTGGGTCCAGCGTGTGTGCAGGCCGCGATTGGAGAGGAGGACTGCATTGTGCTGGGTGTGATTGTGTACAGCGACAGCACGCACGCCTCGAGGAATGGCAGACTGGCGGCATGGTCTGTCCTGATCAGCTTGGTCAACATCCCAGAAGCGCTACGATGGCAGGAGCCGGGCCACGTACTGGCTGGTGTGCTGCCGTTCCCGCCAGAGTGGGCCTCATCCACCGAGAAGACGCGCATCTTCCAGCAGTGCATGGAGGTCATATTCGAGCCCCTACTCCGCGCACACAGAGGGTGAGCGGGCCTAGAAGTAGAGCTTGACAGCCATGATATGACTTACAAGTGTACACCTTCCAATGTCGCCGTGTGCAGGGCCGAATTGCGATGGTTTTATGTGACGGACGCGACGGGCAAGGTGGTGAAGGCCTTTCCATGTCTTTTCGGGCAGCTGGGGGACTTCCCAGAGTCGTCTCGGTCTACAGCGACTCTGCAGCAAGGGTCACATCGGCCGTGTTCTACCTGCTACATGAAGGAGACACATCTGGCAGACCTGTCGCATAAGTCGGTGACGCGGACGGTGGAGCTACAGAGACGGGTCGTGGAAGCAATTCAGTCGGCGACCGACAGCAAGGCGGCGGAGAAAATCAAGAAACAATGGTCAACACACCCGGTGCAGGTGGGGGTTTCCAATGCATAATGTGTTCGTGCTTCCTCATGTGAATGTGCACACGGGGGGGGCGACGCAGCGCCTGGTCACATCCGTGTCGTCTTTGCGTGTGGCAGTGCTACTTGGAAAGATGGAACTTCGCCGAGACCACGTGGGGAAACGTGTTTCTCGCATGCGCGGCAGACCTTCTACACGTCCTGGACGGGGGGATGCTACCGCGCATGGGCAAGTGCTTCATGGCTGGGAAGAGCAAGCCGGAGAGGCGCGAGTTTGAGAGGTGGGTATGCATGGAAATGGCGACACCATTGTTGTCTAACCGAGTGCTTTGCTGACACTCCTACCCAACCATGGCAGGCGGCGCAAGGAACAGAAGAAGGACACGCGCGCAAGCGTAGTGCGCATCCCGGGGGGGACCACATGGTTCAGCACGGGGGCGAACTACGCCGCTTTCGAGCACAGGGGAATGATGCAGGTGATGCCCCTGCTTATCGCAGACAACATGGAGAAGAGCAAGCAGCCGGCTAAGGCGAAACGGGAACGGGAGGTGGCGGCGTTTGTGGCGTACGCCAGCTTCTACAAGGCGCTGGTGGGCGTGACAAAGCATACCGACAAGTCCCTGGACGACGTCCGGGAGATGGCCGTGAAGTACGTACAATCCGGTTGCTCCTATTAGGTGTGTGGCGCAACAAGTGTGCCTGGGGTGCCTAATCATGCCTCCTATGCGCACGCGCAGGATGGTGGCGGAGATCAAGGCCGCATTCCCTGACCAGACGTCGGACTGGAACATCCCTAAGGTGCACCAGATTGTGCACCTGATTGACGGCATACCACTGCGTGGTATGCCGAACGAGACATCCACCAACCTGTGGGAGCACACGCACAAGGGGACCGTGAAGGTGCCGGTCCGTGGCAGCAACTGGCACGACATCCCGCGCCGAATTGTCGAGGAGGAGGTGCAGCGCGAGATTGCACGGGAGGTGGCGGCGGAAGCGGGTGGAAACAGGCAGTATGTGACGGCGCTGCGCGAGGTGAGCGAAGAGGGTTGTGTACCAGGGCCATGATGTGCTGTATAAAGGAGATTGCCCTCTGAACCCGGTTCTCACACGTCGCTCGCATGTTGTTGCGTGCACACAGGCAGTGCGGCGCATGAAGCCAGTACTGACGAAGGCTTCAAAGAGGGCGCACGTGGACGAAAGACATGGACGCGGTGATGTGGGCGTACCGCGCAGCTCACGGGTCAGACATGGACGCACTCGCCGGGTGCATGGTGGCGGCAGGCATCCATACCACCACCATCGAGGTGGGATATGTCGTTCGAGAAGGTGGCTGGGTGATGGTTAATAGCATGTGAAGGTAATAGCAGGTGTGAAGTCTGGGCCACGGCCTTGTGTCACCATCACACCGCATCCACTATACTCTGTCTGTGTCCCGGCGTACGCATGTGCACACAGCCGTGGCGATCCCCCGAACGCGAGGGGGGGTGCTTGTGCCCAAGGGCACATTTGTAAAGGCCAGTCCTTCTGAGCGGTGGTTTTCAGACATCGCAGTGTACCGGTCCGACAAAGAGGAGTGGTATGCCAGGTGCCTCTGCATCTTCCGCGCAGAGGTGGCAGATGGGGAGATGGGGCGACGCGTGTACGTTAAGTACTACGAGGCAGAGGGCACGTGCCCGATGACATCATGCCTGCAGCTTTCTCCCGGCCGTGTGAGAACAAGATACGCGGTGGTTCCCGTGGAGTGCATCCAGAGGGTGGTGCACGTGTGCAAGTCCTATGTGAACAAGTGTGTCATGCTCCTGAACAAGTTCCTGCTGACTGAATGAGTGTGGCGGGCTGTTCCATTGCCGTGACATGTGGGCCAAGTGAGGCCATGTGCGCTGGTATGGACGCAATTGACGCTAAATCAGTAGACACATGGGGTGGCCCCTTAAATGGTTTTTCTTCTTATGACCGGATGTGTCGTTTGGTTGGGTGGATCTTGCATACCGTTTAACATAATAAGTGGTCTCCACCAGGTGTAGATGTTGGCAAGTTGTTTGAAAAGGTTAATGTGTTTAGGCATTGCATTTGGTGTAGAGCGGGTTTGACGGAGATGCTTTCAAACGAGTAATTTGACGCGCGAGCGTCAAATGTGCGACTCGAGAGGTGATGCGCCTCGATTGGGAAAATGTGCGCCTCGATTTTCCCGGGCCCGTTTTGAATTGGGTGGGAGAGCCCTAAGGTTACATTTGCGTCACATGTGTCTTGGGACGTTTTGGGTAGTCATAGGGACTTTTTGTAAGCTTCTCCGTAGAAAAACCCACTCACATGAAAAATGGGCTCTTAACTTTTCTGCGATGGGGTACATTCCTATGGCGGGTCTGACATCAGGTCATCCGCCCTTAGTCTCTGATTTGTCTCTTCTCAATGTTGATTTGCCCCTATTTTGAACCACTTCGGGTCTTCCGAGCTTCTAAGGACGGATGACCTGATGTCAGACACGAGCTAGTAATGACCCTAATCTCGGTTCGGCGTCAGAGCTCGACCGGGCCCCAGGAAGTCAGGGTGGTTTACCCTTTTTAGCTTGTTTTTCAGAGTGAATTTTTCAGGTCACCCTGCTGAAATTGACTTCGACGCTTGTACCGCCCTGACACGCCTTGACATGAGTAAAACCGTACCCTTCAATTCCAGGTGAGAGCATCCTGTCAGCCCTGCCGTTTTCGAGTCTAAGTCATTTTTACCCTGCTAAGGACTCGAGAGTCGAACTCTCGTGCTCTCCAATTTCAGCTAAGTCAGTGAATTTGGCTAAGACACTGAAACTCTGGAAATGCTGTCAAGTCTTTGAAACACACTGAAAATTTGGCTAACTCACTGAAGCACTCTGGATATCCGCCCAAGTCACTAGAACACACTCGACATTCAACGAAGTCACTGAAACACTGGAAATTGGCCAAGTCACTGAAGCACTCAGAGAATTCGCCCAAGTGACTGGAGCACACTGGACATTCAGCGAAGTCTGAAACATACTGGAAATTCGGCTAAGTCACTCAAGCTTTCCGAAATTCGGCGAAGTCACAGAAACGCACCAGAATTTTGTCTTTGTCGCTGGGACAAGCTGGAAACTTAGTTAAGTCCCTTTAACACGCTGCTCAGTGACGAAACAGGCTGTAGTAATTTGACGAAGTCCTGCTCAGAGCGGGTCTGCAGAGCTCAGCAGTGTTAGCGAGATTTCTACCCTGCCAGTTCCGACAAGAAAATACAAAACACCCTGCCATTTCCTGAGTATGCCGCGATTGGCACACTGCAGTGGCAGGGTGAAGGTCGGCCACGACTCGCTTCTGGCAGGGTGCCCAAAAACACATCGAGAGGCCTGAGCTCGACACACCAAACATGTGTCTCTCCGTTCCAGATCTAGATCTAGCCTCTCTAGAACCTTCACCGCAGCACCTTCTCTGCCACGAAAATACAGCGCCACCTTCCCGTAAACTCTGGGCCTGTAGAAGTCTACGCCACGCTGCCTCTAGCAGGCGTCCCTTCACCGACTCCTCTCAGGCTGACGGTAAGTTCGCTTTCTCCCGATTTCGTATTGTGCACATCTTCCCACTGCTATGTTGCTGCTGGTCTCTGTTGCTGCTTTCTGCCTTCCCCTCCTTTCTCTTGCTTCCCAGGACACATGCACCACTGCGGTTTCCAGCCTTCGCGAACCTTCATATTCTTCTGACTCGCTGCCTTCTGCCTACTTCTCAGCCACGTTTTGTACGTCTTCCGTTTCACGCTATTTCCCAACGCCATAGCACCTTTTTCTTATTTCCTGGTCACCCCGCCTATGTCATTATAATCTTCTTCGGCTGTAAATCGGAGATACACCCCATCTTGAACACATTTCAGGCCCCCGATCTACTTGCTATCCGCCCTTCACTCGAGAAACATTATGCAGGATCTATCCTTCAAATCGCTGATCACGACCACGCTGTTCTTGTCCGTACTCCTCGTTCTAGAACTTTCCCTGCTGCCTACCTCTTCGACTCGGGATGCCACCTAAGCACCCAGTCGCTTTGGGATCGCTATGGCCACTGCCTATGCTCCCTCCCCCCCTTGCCCGCCTCCCCCTGTGTGGGAACCTCCCCCTCCTGCTCGGCTGCTATGTATTTAACACGCCTCCCACTTCATTTCCCTCAGCGCCCTCCGCTTCGTTTCCCCTCTTTTTCTCTCCACAACGCCCTCCGCTGCGCCTACCCACCAACCATGGCCACCCAGCGTCACAACCCGGATGAGGAGATGACGCTCGCTGACGACGAATTGCTGCTCGTCGCTGATGAGCTTCAACTGGACGACCTTCCAAACGTCTCGCTCCCTGCGGACCCTCCTACCGACGACGCCCCCGCTCCCAAGAAGCTGTGCACTCAAGGAGACGCCTCTGACAATGTCCCCGCCCCCTCCCCCTCGGCTCCCCTCGTTCCGAATAACTCAGGCCAGCTGCCCAACGCCCACGCCCTGCCTGCTGCGCCTCTCGCAACCACGGTGGCCCCTCCGCCCTCCGCCGCCCCTCCCATCCCACCCGCGTTCGCGGCTCCCTCCGCTGCCCCTGCTCCCTCTCGATCCATGGCAGATCCGCCGCGCCAGCGTGCTCCTGCTGTTGCCAGCGACGCTCCCGAGGACCAGGCAGATCACGCGGACACCCTAGCCATCTCGCGCAACCTCCGCCGCCAACGTGCGGCAATTTCGATCCCCGTTATGCCCCGCAGGCGACTCGCGGTGGTGGAAATCCTCTTCCCTGAGGCGGGAGCGGAGGGTATCCGCGCCGACCTGATCACGCGCATTTCGAAGCATCTGCAACCGTTTCATTTCCGCAACAATGCCATCCCCGAGTTCCAGCCTTCGGTGGGGGAAGTGCTCCGCATCCCCCGACGTGCCTACGCGCGCCTCTGCTTCTCTTGGCCTTCTCAGGATGATGCCGAGGACTTCAAGAGCCTCTTCCCGCACACGTTTCACCTCCCCAACTCCCGCTCGGTGCTGCTGAAGGTTTATGTCGATCGTAACCCGCGCTTCACCTCAGCTAAGGCAGGAGGGGCTGCCACGCTGACCCTCCGAAATATCCCACCGGGCTACACCCCAGAGGACATTCGCACCTTCCTGCTGCACCAGGACGTTGCGGGTGAACCCTCTTGGCTTGCGGACCTTCACTTTTTTCACCAAGTCAAGGATCCATACGAGGATACTTTCCTCCCCATCTTCACGGGCATCCCGCTCCCCCCGCAGGACGACCCAGGCTTCCTCCGCATCCCGGCGGTCATCAATTTCGAGGATGGCGCCCCCCGGCTTTGCTTAATATCTCTTCCCACAATTGCTCCTTCTGCGGCAATAACCACCGCGATGCTGACCACGAAATTTTTCCCACCAAGCGCAGGCAGCGTTTGTCCAACAAGCCGCAGCTCTCTGTCGCCCAGCTGCAGCAAGTCATTAGTAAGCCCATTCCCTCTACCCCCTTGTGTCCTGCCCTCCCCCCCTTGGCGCTTTCTCAACCCCGATTCTTTTCTGACTGGTTTGGATCTATTGGTGCAACCTGCCTTCTCCCCGTCTGCCTTCAAAACCTGCCTCCTGTGGCCACTGTGGCCATTGCCCCCCCCTTTCTTCCTACCCTCCACTCTCCTAGCCCTCCGTACCCCACCCTCCATCTCACCTCCCTCGCAGGACAGTTTCTATGCCTCGAAGGAATCGTTTGCAGCATTCCCATTGCCCCCAACCTGCTTCTCCCCATCCTGCCCTCCCCACCCCGAACTTTGCTTCCCCCTCCCCCCCTCACGTCAGTTACCTGGCGCACGAGCTGCGATTACAACCCCCCTACCCCCCGCGACCTGCCCCCATGCGCCCTACCTTCCCCTCCCCAAATGCCCCACCCCCCTCTCAAACCTGCTGTAATACCCACGGATCGCGTTTGCAGTGTTCCCCCCTCACCCACCTCACCTATACTCCACCTTCTCCCCCTCCCCCAGGGCCAGCCTCACCTCCTTCCCTGGCCTGTCGCCTGGCTCGTTGGCCGCGCTAGCAACCCCCCCCCTACCCTTGCCCCGCCTCCATCTTCACAGCCTGCCATACCCAGATCGCTGTCACACCTCTCTCTCAGGCCAGCCTCCCTTCTCTTGAGCTGTGAACTCAGCTCCCCTCTCCCCCCCACCCCATCTTTACCCTCCGTTCCCTCCCTACCCTGGCCTCTGGCCCACCTTCCTCTCAGGCCAACCACATGGCTCAAGAGCCGCGGTTTCAGCTCTCTGAGCCACCCCAACCGGCCTACACCCCCCCTGGCTATCCTGCCTCAAGCTTTGACACACCTCCTTCTTTTGACTACCCTTTGGCTCACCAGAAGTGCTTGCAGCCCTCCACGCTCCCCCAACCTGCCACTCCCTACCCCTCTGCCACCCCGCCCCAAGCTCCCACTCCCCCACAGGCTGAGCCCCACCATCCCGCTTTGCATCTGCATACCTTATCTGCCCCCCATCTCGGCCCTCCATTCGCTGCCCCCCTTCCCCTGCTCCCTCCCACGGGCAGCCCACCTGTCCCCGCACCGTCTAAGTTATTTTCAATGCCTCCTTCCTCCTCTGCTGCCCCTGTCTTCCCTTCCTCGTTCTCTGCCTTCCAGGCCAGGTGCTTGGCTCCCGCGCCGCGCCGGCAGCTTTCCGCAACGACCCCGGACTGCTATACATCGGACTCGACGCGGATGTCGAGCCATGGACATGTACCCTGTGCAACCTGACTTGCGGCGCCGCTCTCGACTCGGCCATGGCCCACATTTCCTCCGAGCAGCACGCGTCCAAGAAGCTCGCTGCAGCCCACCTCCCAGCCGCGAAGGAGAAATACACCGGGTGGAAGGCTATGGCCTTTGTTGCCCTTCCCAAAATCGCCGACTTTCTTGCCATGCTCTAGATCAATGGCTGTTGAATGGTCTATGGATGGCACCCTTGCCCTGCTACTGCCTCCCCCCCATGGCGTGCAACAGCATGACGTGCTGTGCCCTACCTTGCTCCGGCCTTCGTTGTTATACCCCAGGCTACCGACCTCCTTGCCCTGCTGTAGATCGGTGGCTCTTGGCCGTCTTATTGCTTCTATTGTTGTCTTGCCACTGCCTTAATTCATGTTTGTTCAACACAAACCTATACTATGATACTCCTTGTTACATGTTTCAGAGACACGTGCTAACTAACGCTACAGATAGGAAAGTTCACACCCTCCTTTACACGTTAGCCCGGGGATTCGCTCACCTTGGTGCGCGAGGGCTCCTCCTTATCCACGATGATCACACATCTTAGAGTACTCTGTATCAACATCAACGGAATAAACGCCCCTTTCAAAATGAACGCTCTAAAAAGATGGCTTACTTTCTACGGAAGGAACGCTGACATCGCCGTGCTTGTCGATACCCGCCTCACGGACAATGTGAAAAGGCTAGACCTTCGCTTTCGCCCTCACGCCTCTGCCCACACAATGGCCCGGTATCGTAACACACCCTCCTCAGGCACACGCCCATCCCCCGGTGGCATATCTATCCTCGTATTTAATAAATCCATTTCTCTCTCCTCTTATACGCCTTCAACCGACGGTCGTTTACTCGCCGTCGATATCAACTTCCACCACGAGCAAATACGAATCATAGCTATATACGCCCCGCCTCATGCCATTGACAGACGGTCCTGGTGGCGCTCACGCCTTGCTCCGGTACTGGACTCTCCCTCAGCTGCATCCGCAACTCTACTCGTAGGAGACTTTAACTCCGTTGTCCTCCCCTCTGATCGCAATCGCCCACTGCATGGACATGAACGGAACGAAGCTGCCGCTGTCGAGGCTTTGATGACCGAACACTCGCTCGTTGACACCTTCCGGGCACTACACCCCAACGCCACTGTTTACTCTTACTATGGTCGTCCTCGCGCCACTCCCCGACCCGTAGCACCGCGACCTGTCCCAACCGCATCTGCAGTCCTCACGCCTGCTGCTTTTACACCCACACCACCCCGATCTGCCGCACCTCCGTTTATGGTCCACCCGCCTGCAGCACCACCTCCTGCCTCCCGGCTGGACCGGATGTACATCTCCGCCTCCTTCCAAAACCGACTTGCGGCCTCCCCCTACCTCCTTACCCCCCTCATCATCTCCGATCACTGCTACGCTCCACTATGCTCCATAGCGTTCGAGCTCCCTTCCAGAGCCCCTCGCCCATGGAGGCTGAGCCCGTCCCTCCTCTCGCGTCCTTACATCGCTACAATCTTGGAAGAACTTATCCCCGCCCTGCCTCCCTCCCCGTCTTCGGAGGAATGGGATGCATGGAAAAATGCCCTTACGCTACGCCTCAAAAGGTTCTCCAACCAGGAAAAACGACGGGTGCATAAGACTCTTGAGCACCTCAATCACCTCATCAACCAGTTCCAACTACGCTCTGCCATTTCCCCTTTAGACGCGGAGTCCGCCGCTCGCCTGTGTAAGGCCCAGCAATAGCTCGCGAGATACACTGCCGCTAAAGCCGCTGAACTTGCTCTTAAAGCTAAATTAAAGGTCGAAGGTCATCGCGAGATGGGAATCTCATCTCTTCTCGCCGGAATCAACTCCCGCATTAAAGCATCCTTCATATCCTCCATCACCCTTCCCAACGGGCAAAGCATTAGCGATCTCCACACCATGACCTCTGCCTGCTCCAGCTTCTTCCAATCCCTTTACAGTGGCGTCCCATCCGCCTCTCCAAACCCCGACTTCTGGCGACACATCCCTCGCTCCTCTCCCCCCCCTGCCCTCACTTCCGCACTCGCAGCCCCCTTTTCCTTGCCTGAGGTGGGCAAGGCTCTAGGCCAGCTCTCGCGCGGAAAGACCCCTGGTCCTGATGGACTCCCTGGAGAACTTTTCAGGCTGTATAAACCTCGTTTTGCTCCAGCCTTCTTGACCCTCCTGGCCCCGGCCTCCATGCCCCCCTCTCTACCCCCCTCCATGCTCTCCGGTCGTACAGTGCTCATTCCCAAAAAGGGGAACGCCTCCCTACTGGACAATCACCGCCCCATCACCCTCATGAATGCAGACTACAAAGTTTTAGCTCTCTGCCTGGCTAACCGTCTCCAACGACTCCTTCCTCTCATTATCCACCCTTCTCAAACGGCCTTCATCAAACACCGGAAGATAGGCGACACGATTAACGACACGTTGGACATCATGGACTGGGCCTCCTTCACAAACAGTCCCCTTCTCGCCCTGACGGTAGACTTCCGTAAGGCCTACGACTTGCTCAACCGACCCTTCTTATTCCAGGCTCTCTCCCACCTCGGCGTCCCGGAGAATCTTATCAAATGGATCCGTCTCATGCACTCCAACACGTCCGCCCGCATCTCTGTTAATAACATGGACGGTGCCCCCTTTCCAGTGCGCACCGGCGTCCGGCAAGGCTGCCCACTCGCCCCCCTCCTGTTTGTCTGCGCCATCGAGATTCTACACCGCTACATGACTTTGTATCTCCCTGGCTTCCCCTTATCAGCCACGAACAACCGCCTCATGGCCTGCTACGCAGATGATGTTACACTGTTCCTCTCGTCGAACAAGGAGCTCGAAACCGCCACTACCCACCTTATGATCTTTGCGGCAGTCTCTGGTGAACGACCCAACTGGAGCAAATGCTCCATCATCCCTTTCAATATCCCAAACTGCCTCATCACCCACGCAGGGCAAATCCCTATCCGTGCTTCTAATGAAGCTGAACGAATTCTTGGAATCTTTGTCGACAAAAGCCTGTCCAACACCACCACCTGGACCACTACTCTTTCGCGTATAGAACGCTCCACCAGATTCTTAGCGGCACTCCGCGCGACCGCCACGTGTCGTAAAACTCTCGCATCCACTTTCCTCAACTTAGTTATCTCCTATCCCGGTCGCTTCCAACCTCCTCCGCCTGACATACTTGCCAGACTGGATACAGTCGTGAGCACCTTCCTCTCCTCGTCCCGGTTTAAGGAAACCGGCTTCGCCATGCCCATCATCCCATACCGGATTCTTTATAACTCGACTCGTCACGGTGGCCTCGGTGCTACCCGGCCATCCATCCAGATTAAAGCCCTCACGATCCAACGTGCCCTTCGCCGCTTTGGTGCAACGCCTTCTGAGGAAGTCGCGCGCTGTGCAATCTCCCTCCCTTTTGGCTCTCACGCCTTCCTCTCCCACAAGCTGATTTTGTCGGCCAACTATCTACCCCCTTCAATCCCTCCACGTGCTCTCGCGGAACTCAAGGACTTCCTGTCCCTTCCCTCCACCGTTGCCCCTCCGCTCATCTCCTCCTTATGCCTCCTTGCTGAACCAACGGCTTTCAATCGCTTTATCCTCAAACCCAACGGAAGACCTTTTGGCACCACCAAGCATGAGCGTTTCCTACTATCCGAGAAAATCAGGCTCGGTGACATTATCCAAGTATCAATAGTAGGGCTCGGCCCCATCCCCGAAAATGTGCTTGCCACCAAATACCCACGCATCGATCCTAAAACCTGCTACCCAGTCATCTGCATGGTTCTTGAAGCACTTCCCAAGCCGTGGCAAGACGAGATTCTTGCCCCCTCACTTGCTTGCCCCTCCCCAGGTGACTGTTTCATCCCGAGCTCCGATCTACACTCCCCCCCCTCCCTTGTCCTACAGACGACCTCGTTCTCCCCCCCTTTCACGCTGTCCGCCACCCTCCACCGGGTTCTGCCAAACGGCTTCTTTGAGCGTAATCCCTTTGGGTCCGGGATATTCCATATCAAAGATGTCGTGGCGGTTCACACCCAAGGCCATTGGGTGGCTGGCCCGCTGCATACAGGTGCAGGGCTTGGCGCGAGGCTGGACCTTCTCCGCGACTGTGTCCCTAGCCTCGCCGCGATCCGACAACTCCTCTATACGCGGCGCCCACTCGACCACGACTCCCGCTGGATCCATGCCCTCTCCTCCCCCTTACCCATCCCTCTCCCCGACCACTCTCACACCTTCCTCCGCGAACAACCTAGTCTTCAGCGCGACCTTCTATACCGTTTCTACACCCGCTCTCTCCCTTCGGGCTCCCGGTTCCTGTTCTCTAAGGATAGGGGTCGCTGCTCGCGCTGCTCCTCCAACGAGATTGAGACTATCTCACATATTTTCTTCGTCTGTGGGGCAGCCCCTGATGTGATGGCGGCTTTGGGCTCAGTTGCTCGTCGACACTTGGGCTGCTCCCCTCCGACCGAGCACATACTTTTTCCGCTCCCCTCTCGTGCCGGCCAGACTGCCCCCTGGAGCCTTCTTGTTGGCGCAGCTGCCAAGGCCCTTTGGAATGCTCGTTGCAACCAAAGATCCAACAACATCGTCTCCTCCCGCTTTGAGATCTTGCAACTCATCCTCGCTCAATTTCTCCTGGCTTTCAAAATATTCCTTTGGCGGCGCTCTAAACAATCAGCCAAGCAACAACAGAAAACTGCACCCCGTCTCCGGGCAGCCAAACGGCTCCGCTTCATATCTTTTTTCTGAAGGTGGTTCCCCTTCCATTCATCCCGACCTCCGCACCTCCTGGCTCCTCGGAAATCCATTTCGTCCCCCTTAACTTGCGCTAGGCCCCCACAGAGAGCTCCCCAGCGAAGCTGGTGGCTGTCCGCTAGGATAGGGGAATAACGTGTTCAACGCGTACGCCAAACGGTCGTTGGCCGGTGTAGCCATATCCTCAGCTTCTCTGTGGTTAATTTTTGTAAATGATTACGATCATAATATATTCCTATTCCTATTCCTGAGCTCGACACACCAATGGATCCCCTCCCACCATATGGCGCCGTTCTTCAACCTACGGAAAAAGGCTTGAACAAATTCAGTATCGCTCTGCACCGCACAACGGCGTCGGTCTGCTTTGATCGAGAAGGCTATGGAAGAGTTCTACGACTTGGGCTGACCAGTGACTCGTTGGGGGGGGGGGAAGGCGAAGGTTTGGTAATTAACACCGTGTTACAGAAAATTGAGAAATGAAACTAGGGTAGTTTGACCACAACTCTAACTTGGAAAGCTTCCCAATATGCAGTGCATTGTGAGAGGTATTGTGCGGTAGAACAAACAAAAATTAAAGGCCGCAATCACCACACTATCCCACTATCAGTGCGACCCAAATCATGCCCTTCCCCATTGAACAAATTCTCGTTCTCGAGGTAAAGGCCCAACAATTGCCTATAAAGAATATAGCTTTCTGCACACCCCACCACCTTCAGCATCTGCAGATTTGGCATCTGTCCAAGGCCCACAGGAAGGAAGGTTATGCCCTTGCAATCTTCAATCACAAGACTCTTTAGCAATGAAAGAGCGCTGAACGAGTCTGGGAGAGACTGAAGACTGGAACACCGGCGAATGGTGAGTTCCTGAAGGCGTGGAAGCATGACGATGCTGGATGGGAGACTATTCAAAAGGCCGCATCTGCTGATTGCGATGCATTCCAGGGAACAGATTTTGCCGAGTGATGATGGTAACTCCTGCAGTGCCGGACAGTCTGAAATTTTCAACTCCTGCAGTGCTTCCAGCTGCCCAAACGAGACCGGAAGACACGTAACTTTCGCCACACTGCAGAGTTCAAAGCTTTTCAGGCAGGACAGTTGCCCGAAATTCTCGGGCAGGGAGAGCAGGCTCGGGCAACCAGTGATTGAAAGGTTCGCGAGGGAGGGGAGCAGGGAGAAGGAGTCTGGGAGGTGAGAAAGCTCCTCACAGGCATTCAGCTCGAGCTTCTGAAGAGATGGCAAGAATCCAAAGTCGTCTGGAAGGGCTGACAAGGAGCATTGGCTTATCTCGATTGTTTTAAGCATGTGCAGGGATGGGAGCGACGCAGGGAGGGAGTGGAGTGTGGTGCAGATGGTGAGGGCGAGGAGGGAGAGAGAGGTGGAGAGGGAGGAGTGGCCGAGTGATGCTGGGAGGAGAGAGAGTGCAGGGAGGATGAGATCGAGAGAAGTGAGGGAGAGGAGGGAGATGGAATCAGGGAGGAGGACCAAGCTGCTGCTGCTCACGCTCAGATCGCTGAGCCTTGACAGCTGCCCGATACACTCGGGCAGAGAAACGAGAGAGTCGCAATCGACAAGTTCAAAGTATTCTAGGTTGCTCAATTTGCCCAGGGTCGGAGGAAGGAATTTAAGGAGGGGAGTGTGGAGATTGAGGTGAGTGAGGGAGGAGAGGAGGCCAAAGGCCGGAGGAAGCTCTTGAAGATGGTCCATGGAGAGATGGAAGGTCTTCAGCTGCTGCAGATGGAGTAAGGGTGACGGGAGAGCGGTGACCCCAGCTGCTGTGCCGTGCAAGCGGAGCTGCTGCAAACGCGTACACGTGGAGAAAAGGGCTTCGAGACCCAGTGAGGAGTGAGAGAGGGGGGTCCCGTGTCCTCCGGCCGTGAGGGAGAGAGATGATAACTGCGGACACGCGTTAGCGAGCCCTGCGAGAAAAGCGTCGGTGATCGAGTCCACGCTGCGATTGGAGAGATCGAGGGACGTGAGGTTCGGCATGCGCGATACTGCGCGGATCAGCTGCGCGCCGGAGATTTCCCGCCGCCGTGCCACGTGGACTGCAGACTGCGAAACGCGCGCTAGCCGGAGCCATCGCGAGCAGACAACGGCGTGCGAGAAGGAGACGCTGTTAGAGGCAAGTCGCTGGAAGATTAGAATCATGAGATCGTCACTAAGAGTGTCAAATAAACTCGGGTCAGACGGAGTTGGAGATGACTCCATCCCGGCGATGCCGTCAGATTAACTTCGGAAGGGACAGCTGCGAGAAGACCTTTTCACGGCTAGGCGACTCGAGGATCCAAGAAGTATGAATATTAGACGATCAAGATTACTTTCCACGCACCAAGCGAGACGCTGTCTTTTGGGGCTCCGAATGGGTGCCCGACATCTTCATACAGTATTTGGTCGTCAGTGGTGCAATGCCGAACCGAACCGAACGGAACCCCGCCCAATTGATGACGGGTGGATGCACGATGAAATTGGGTTGGGATTGCATGCGCGCCAGGGTTTCGGTCCCTGTGCGACAGGGGTGGTCAATACGAGCCCCAGCAAACTCGTCGCTGTGCGACGGATTGGTCAACATTCACCCCAGAATCTGGTCGAACTGCCAAGGTTGCCTGTTTTTGGTCAATGGGGCCTGCTTGGGTTTCTGCCTGTACCTTGGCGATGCATGCGAAGTCCAGAAGTTCGACTTTACGGCCCAAAGCCGAACTACAGGATCACATACTGTGCAGCTTCCGTTGTTTGTAGACGACAAATTCCGTACGCGAACTGAACTCTTGGAAGAGCCTTGACTATTGCAGGTTTGTGAGGTACATGGTCATGACCACAATAGCGAGCGACGGAATTCCCCCACAAAATTTGTCTTGCAGCAACCCGAACTAGATTTGGTGTTCCCGAACTGACTGGTTCAACTCCAGACTACTACTACCACCACCACCACCACATGGTTGGATCACCTTTCGCTAAAAATATTTCCGTTTAAATCACTCTTTCTTGCCCCACCAATCTCTCCCTCTCTGTCACACAGGTGCCCCCTCCTCCCGCCCGCCCACACCCCCTCTCCCAACAATATTCCCGTCCGTCCCGTCGCGTTCCGTCCGACCTCCGTTGCTGTCGCTCATGTCGCAGAATGACCACCAGGGTCGCGTCGGTTCAAGTCAATGGCTTCGCACAGCCAGCCATCCTCTTCGCAACTGGCCATTGACCAATGAATCCCCTTGCCCAGCTGTGCTCCATGTTTCCACGGGCCACACATTCGGCTGCTGCTTACGCTGCGAAGCAACACCGCCATTTTCATTCTTTTCCAAACCATTCAGCCAGTCGCAGACAACTTTCACATTCCCCCCAGTCCCCGTCCAACCGTGTCAGTCCAGCCCATAGCATCTTCGATTGAAGAACCTCAGAAGAGCACAATACGAAGGATCAGCGCCTCAAACCCAGGACTTGACAGGGAAGGAGCCACCTGAAGATTTACAGCACGCGAGCCTCCCACTCCCCACCCCACCCCACCCTTCCCACCTCGCCTTCGCCCCGTCCCGCCCCGTGCCGACTCCCTCGGTTGTTGTTGCGCTTGCTTCCATCTGCACCACACAAGCGGGCGGAAGGGAAGCAAAGCAAGCAAGACAGACTACTATTGTTGCATGTACATGCCCACTACCCTACTCCCCTTGCTCCACTCCTCTTTCTGCAGACCAGACCACTCCCTCCCCCGCTGCTGCTGCTGACGCCCCAAGCCACCTTTCCATTTGTGTTTGCTTGCGGTTGTTAGAATTCCTCAAGGGTCCTGCTTCGGCCGTCGTATTGCTTCACACATTCTTTTCTTCGTTCTGCCGTGTGCGGCTGTCACGAACCACTCCAACACTGCCGTGACGGTGGGACTCCAGGCTCTCGGACAGTCGGACTCTCGGAGGAGTACGGTAGTACGGTGTACCGTATTTATCCTGTGATCTTCTGGGCCACAGCGGCTTCTCAGCGGCTCCTCGAAATCTCCTTGTCTCCTCACTTATCTACCCACTTTCCTCACTCGTCGAACCGCGTCCTTCCTGCACGTGATATTCGCGAATCCAGCCGACTTTCTCCTGAAGCCATTCGATTTCTGCTTAGTTCCTTCCTTATCACCCACACGGCTCCCAGCCAAAGCATGTCGATGGCGGACGTCGAATCGGCGTCCATCCCCGCGGAATCCTCTCTGCCCGCCACGTGGCAAGACAGCTCCAGCTCGTCTTTCCCTCGCGACTCCGTCCCGCTCGCGAAATTCGCGTCCGAGCCATCTGCGCGGACGACGACGGGCGACGACGACGACGAACCCGGCGACGACGACGGCGACGAGGCCGCAATGATCGCCGCCTTGGCGGCGGAGTCGTCGCCGTCGCAGATCTCGCGATCGACGACGTCGGGATCGGGCGGGTCGTCGCGGTCGCACAGATCGCTAGACGACGCGGGCGACCATTTATCGGTGGAGGGGCACGAAGCGGACATGGCGAAGATGCGCGCCGCGGTAACAACCGCGGGAATCTCGCTAGAGGTAAACCTGGTGAAGGAATCACCTTGACACCTGCGTTCATGATGATTGCAACGAATACCTGGTTTCCATTGCGGTGCCTCCGCTGGCGTTTGCGGCTTGCGCGCGCGGAAGCGTTGGTTTCCGCAGCAGCCGCTCGCTGCTGACCGCTACGCTGTCTGGTTGACTGCCTGTCGCAAATCTTCCCCTAGATCCATGCCTTCCCCCACCCCCTCCCCCTTGCATCCCCCTCCTCCGTCTTCCCGCTTCATCGCTCTTGATTTCCTTCTCTCTCCGTTTTGGCGTCCTTGCTTTCGGCCCGTTACGGTCCTCTCTTCTCATCCACCCTCCTTATCCAACCCCCGCTCTCTCTCTCTCCCGATTTCTTCCCCCTCTTCCCCCCCTTCCCGCTGCTCCCTCCTTCCTCTCTCCCCACTTGTGCCCCCCTTGGCCCCCACTCCCCCGCCCCTCTGCCCGCATCCCCCTTTTTCGCCACTCCTCCCCCCTGCGTCCCCCTTCCCACCCCTCCCTCCCCCACTTCCCCCCGCCCCTTTTCCCCACTCCCCCTCCTTCCGCTGTCCTCCAGGGCGTGTCGGAGCTCACGCTCCTGCGCTTCCTCGTGGCGCGCAGTTTCAACATCGACCGCGCGTCCACCATGTACGTCGAGCACCGCAAGTGGCGCGCCTCCTTCATTCCGCCGGGCTTCTACCCCGCGCGCGCGGGCGACCCCGAGCCGCAGTTCGCGCCCGCGCTCATGGCGCCCGTGTCGCTGCAGTGCGCGGAGGGCGAGCGCTCGTGGGTGATCTGCCGCCTGCGCTTCCACGACGCTTACCAGCGGAAACTGGACGCGCTCCTCAGTGCGTGTTGCGGAACGGGGAGGGGGAAAGGGGAGAGAGGGGAGGGGAGACGGGGGAGGAGTTGTGGGGAAGGGGGGGTGGGGGAAAGAGGATTTTTGGGGGGGAGGGGGGGGGGGGGGGATTAATTGCTGCGGTAGGAGTCGGGGGGAAGGTGGGATGATCCGGGAGCGGGATGGGCGCACGCGCGTGGGACGGAATGCGCAATTTTGATTTTTTTCTCAGGCAGGAAAATGGGGGCGGAGGTTTGGGGGGGGGAGGTGGGGGTGGGGGGGAGTGAGGGGAGCGGAAGTGAGGAAGACATTTTTTGAAAATTGGAGGCGAGGAAGAGCAGATATGGAGTGACAGGGTGGTATTGTGGTGGAGGGTAAGGGAAGGGGGGAGGAGGATGGGATGGGGAGTGCGTGAGCCTGGGGAAAAGCGAGATTTTTCCTGAAAGCAATCCCCCCTCCCTCCCTCCTCCCACCCCCACCCACCTCCGCCTTTTGACCTTGTCAGACTTTCTCTCTCCCCTCCCTTTTCCTCCTTGTTCCACCTTCCCCTTTTCCCTCCCTCTCTCCCCCATCCCGACCCACTCCGCCCTTCCTCCGCGCCCTCTCCTCCTCCTTTCTTCCCCTCCTCCCCTCTCTTCTCCCCACCCTGTGCAAACATCATCTCAACTGAAGCTTATCTCCTTTCTCCTTTTCTCTCCCCCCCTTCTGCTTCCGCACCCCCTCCCTCCCCCTCCCTCCCTTTCCCCCCTGCCTCCCCCTCCCTCCCCTTCCCCCCTGCCTCCCCCTCCCTCCCCTTCCCCCCTGCTTCCCCCTCCCTCCCCTCCGCGTCTCTCCGGTTTCAGAGTCGGTCGTCTACACCATGGATAAAGCAATCGCCAGGTAATAATAATAGGGAAAAGCGAATGTGGGCGGACAGGTGGGCGGACAGGTGGGCGGACAGGTGGGCGGACAGGTGGGCGGACAGGTGGGCGGACAGGTGGGCGGACAGGTGGGCGGACAGGTGGGCGGACAGGATGTGGGCGTTGCATCAGCTTGGGGTTTCTCTTTTCTCCATTGTAGTTGCCACCTTTCACCCACCTGCCACCCACCTTTCACCCACCTGCCACCCACCTGCCACCCACCTTTCACCCACCTGCCACCCACCTGCCATCCACCTGCGAGCAGGCATTGCAGCACAGACAAGCAACGCAACGCAACGCATAGTCCATCCATCCATCCCATGCATCGTCCTGGTTGCACACCGCGTGCATCATTCGTTCACTCCACCCGTCCTCGTCCCACCGCGTCCCACCACGTCCCACCACGCCACGCCCATTTCGACCGACCCCTGTGCCCCGTCCCGCAGCCCCCCGCTCGAGCTGCGCAAGTCGTGCGTGAGGGCGTGGCCTGCAATGACCTCACCTTTCTCTTCAACCCTCCACCACACCCCCTATCCCGCTGCCCCCCTGGGCCCTGCCCCTGCTGCTCCCTCCGTACCCCGCATTCTCTGCAGCCTCCCGCCTGTGATGAGTCGTTTTTTGAGTCGACTCAAAAACTGCCCCTGCTGCTCCCTCCACACCCCGCATTCTCTGCAGCCTCCCGCCCGACCTGCACAAGCTCGGCGTGATATTCGACCTGCAGGGCGTGGCATACAAGAACCCTATGCCTGCCTCACCCCCTCCCTACCCTACCTTTCACCTCCCTACCCGTGCTTCCTTGCCGCCTGCTGCGTACAGCCTCCCCCCCGACCTGCACAAGTTCGGCGTGATATTCGACCTGCAGGGCGTGGCATACAAGAACCTCGACTCCAGAGGAGGCATCGCCTCACTCATCCTGCTGCAGGTCTGCCTGCTCTCCGTGCGCTGCACGCCATGCTATGACATTTGAGTCGAC